GTGCATGCTGGAGGCAGTCAGGTCATGGGCAGGCAGCTGGAGAAGGAGGTGAGGGGGTCGAGGGAGCAGATGGAGAGCCAACTGCATGTGTGTGGGCAGAGAGAAGGAGCCAGGTAGGGATGGAAGGTTTGAGCACAGGGAGAAGGGATGGGTGAAAGAGAGGTCAGGGGTCCTGAGGGGACAGTTGTAATATGGGCCAGTGGGTAAAGCAGAAGGTGAGAACTCAGCAGACCTGGCTTCCTCTCCTGACTCTCCACTGACTCACTGTATAACCCAAAGGGAGCCTTTGCCTGGTCCAAGGCATGGCTCAGGAAAGGGGAACTCTGTAGAGCAATGTCAAGGCTTGGCAAAGCCTAGAGGAGTGGCAGCAGAGAGCCATTACTCCTAGCTCGTTCATGGCACTCGGCATCTTCTACCCATGATGAAAACCAACAGAATAATTAGCTCTCTAATTAAATCCTGCTCTGTGGTCTAGGCATGAGCCTGAACTATCTGGCAATTCCCACAGACAGCTGTCCCACAGCAGGGTTCAGTGAACTGTAAGTGGAGGAGAGCTGCTCTGAGGGAACATGGCAATAGAATCTGAGGCAGGCTCATGGCTGCCATATGCACAGAGGTGGCTCTGCTGCTGTCCCTCTTGCCCTCCTGTTGGTCACTCTCTCGCCATCTCCCTCTTTCATCCTCTTCCAGGGCATGTCAATGCCACTGGCCTCAGAAGGAGCATCCATGGGGCCTGGATGCAGGCAAACCTTGTAGGCCATGTTTCTGCTGCCTCTCTGCCAAGCTGGACTACTACCACTGCCAAGATACACACCGTGCCCAGTTGCTCTCATTCTGTGCACACCCATGTCTGACAGTGAGGAAGAGCAGGAGTGCATCTAGACTGCACCCCCGGTGCTTTCACAGAGGGATGCTGTTGGGTATGCCCCACCCAATTCCTTCTGCTCATGTCCTGGCAGTGCAGCAGTGAAGCTACTCTGGGGGTGTCCCTCAAGGGCTCCACTACCAGAGATTTGAAAGGGGCCACAGGACACCCCCACAACAGCTTCACTGCTGTGTTTCTGGGTTTAGCATATGGAGGCAGGGGTTATTTCTCAGCAGTGGTCCCCTGCTCAGGAGAGACAAGGCAGTAGGGACACAGCTGTGCAAGGCAGAGAGACCTTCAGTCCTGTCCCTTGCTCCTTTCCCTGCTCTGCCTCCCTTGTAGCTCCTCCCTTCCCAGCTAATCCCTGGAATCACCCCCTCCACACCCTGGCACCTTGGCCCAGCCTCTATTCTTTTCCTCTACTCTTCTGTCTAGTTCCTCCACAAGCCCTGCCATGGCTCCAGCCTATGAGCTGGCACAGCAAAAGGGACTTGCTCTTTTGTGGGCTGTGCAGGGGGAGGTGAAACTGACTCTGTCTCATATTGCTGCTTCTCATCAACATGACCTATGGAGAGGAATGGGGAAAGGGGCTTTGTCCCATCCTCTGGCCTGTTTTTCTAAGGTTGTCAATCCCCAGTCCAGAGACCACAGCTACTGGAAGGTACCTGAGTGACTCATTTATTACTATAATACTACATCACTCAGATGTTGATGCAGTAGCATAACTAAGGGGAGGGCAACAGAAGCAGCCCCTCCCTTTGTGAGATGGTCCAAAGATAGCCGTGAGCACAGCAGTGGCTGATCACCCCTCTGTGACTAGTATCACAGCAACTGGCACTGCTGTGGGCATTGTATAATTGCCCAGGGTACAGAACAGCCCGGCTATGTCTCTTGTGTATGAACAACAGCTAACAACTGCAAGTCCCAGCTACAAAGGGCTGACAGTCTGGTTACACACCCAAGGATCCCCTCACACAGAGGGCTGCAGGGGAAAGATCCACAGCAGCCAAAGGAACTTTTTTCTACTGACTTCAGTGTGAGAAGAATGGTGCTTAGGGAATCAAACAGGCAATTTTCCAGGGCCCTAAATCTCTCCCCTTCCCCATGCACCAGTAAAGTGCAGAAGGCTGTTTCTAGTTCTCCCATACAGTAATGTTTGAACATGTTTGGCAGCCGGGAATTGTTTACAGCAGTGGTCAGGGAAGTTATGCTTTGTATCTGATTTCTCTTTGGTTCCCCAACAGCCCTTCTACTTGGTGCACTTCTGATTAGCTCTGGTTAGATTTTACCCTGTTGTGCAGTTTGCTTTGAGGCAGGGGCTGCGTTTTTCATGAACATGCTCCTTGGAGCCGGGCTTTCTGGTGGCCTAGCCCTTGTTGATGTCATGCACACATTTCTGACTGTAAACACAAAGCAAGCCACCCAGCAGCATGTGAACCCGGTGAAACCTCACCAGGGTGCTCTGCAAGAGGACTAAAAACTCACGGCATTGGCAGCGGACCAGCCCACAGCTCAGCCAGTGTACCTTCATCCTCACCTGGCTCAGCATGTCAGCCTGGTTCAGTCAGGGTGTCGCTTGTGCCTTGGAGTATGGTAGTTCCCTAATACTTACCTGCTTCCACTGGGAAATGGGCTGCAACCATTCAGCTCATCTCACCTGTGACCTCAGTCACATTTTTCAGGGCTGAAATTAGGTAGTGAAAGTTTCACGCACAAATCTGCATTGTCACTTACCCTGCACCCTCCACAGGGTTTTCATTCTCTGCTTATACCCTGCCCTGCTCATACCAGCCTAGTGTCTACTTACGTAACGACAGCCACATCAGTATATCCACAGCAGGCCCACCCTGCAGCACATGCGCTAGGTTATGCTCCCCCCGCCTCTCACTTGGTCACTGTAATGTGCCACTCTGCGTTTCATAGTTTCATAGTTTCTAGGGTTGGAAGGGACCTGGGCAGATCATCTAGTCCGACCCCCTGTCATGGCAGGAAAGAGTACTGGGGGTCAAACGACCCCAGCAAGATGGTCATCTAACCTCCTCTTAAAAACCCCCAGGGGGAGCCTGCACCACCTCACTTGGAAGCTGGTTCCAGACCCTAGCCGCCCTGACCGTGAAGTAGCGCCTCCTGATGTCCAACTTAAACCTTCCCTCCGCCAGCTTGTGACCATTATTCCTGGTCACTCCCGGCGGCGCTC